TCTTTTTCCAGTCGAAGACTAGCTCGTAGGAAGTCACGACGTCGTCGATTTTGTTGCAAAATTGGAACGATCGAACCATAACGTCGTCCCATTCCTGTGACATCTCTCGCAGAGCCACATCCGGGATACAGTATATTTTATATATACAGTTTAAAAAACCCGCAAAGTTGTGAATCCGCAAAAGGTGAACCGCGAAATAGCGAGAGACTACTGTATATATATAACATATACATATATTGACATATATGTCTTGCATGTTTTGATTGCGATCGCCGCCCATTTTGTTTTAAAGGTGCCTTTGCCCGTTCCCCATCTTTTTCACTTAACACACTGGACTCAGTTCTGCAGTGTTTGTCGGTGCAGCTGCACGCGGCCTCACCATCAATCACACCATTGATTTTTTTTTTAAAGACATGGGATTGCTGTCTCCCACCAGAGTTTCACACAAAGTCCTCGTTCTCCGTGGGCAGTCGCAGAGAAGGGAGACAAAGTTCTCCAGTCTGGAGCTTGTGCCCAGAATAAGAACAAGGTTTTGACCACGATGACGTCCATTAAAACAACAACAATGTGGAAATACAGCGCCACATATGGAGACAAACGGTAAAGTCAAACAAATCAAACAAGGGCCTGACGGTTTGTTCATCACGTTCCTGATTTTACTGACTTCTTTGTTGGTTGTATATGTTGCCTAACGACCGCTCGGATTGGTTGAAAAGAAAAAAAAAATCAGTTTGAAGACGAATGAGAGCCATGGAATGACAATGTCAAATAAATAAACATAAATATTATATTATATTTATATTTATACAGAGAGCAAGAGCTAAGAATATCTGCAGTGGAACCGATGGCAGCTGTCAGGGAGCTCGTCAGTAGAATGTCCCTCTGAACAAGTTCTAGTCAAGTACCGTGCTATGCATGTTCCTACAGTTTTGGCACTTTTTTTTTTGCACTAAGCCGAAACCACACATTAAAAAACCCAACAAGATTCAGTTGCCTTTAAATTTTGGAAAAGACATCGAAGGCTGTGATAAAATGGTGAAAACCGATGTCAAAACTGAGGTACATGTGACTGAACCGTGACTTTTGGGTAGATTAACGGTCCATTATTTTTACACGTCCTTTTATGTATTACGTATATGAGCGGCATTTGCATTTGTAACTAATGTCGGTTTGAACGTCTTTGATATCAAAGTCGCTGTTCACAGTGGTCATGATGCCTTTGATCTGAATGACAAAAAAAAAAAATTCCATCGTCCCAATTTGTCGCTCGGTGCCGCGTCCTGTCGTAAACAATGCTTCCAACCATTAAGACACGTCTAGAGAAGCACATTCTGAAGCCATGGTGGGACACGTTTACCGACTACATCTCCATTTTCATGATGATCATTTCAGCCTTTGGAATTTTCCTGCAAAACACCCGGGAAAACATGACCTGCATGCCCTGCGGCTCCGTGGACAACAAGCAATGCGGGACACTTAGTGCGAAAGACGCAGCTTTCAGCACACAGAACGTGAGCATCATCCCTTGGGACGTTTACGCTAGTAACTTCTGTTACGAGCAGAGCGTACACTGGTTTGGCAAATACGCCCCCTACCTGTTGATCTTCCATACTCTGGTCTTCGTGACCTGCAGTCAGTTCTTGTTCACGATCCCATGCACGAGCTCCAACCTGGACAAGTTTGTGTCCATCCTTCTCGAGTGCAATGACTCGCCGTGGACCACGAAGGCGCTGTCCGAGACTGTGGTGGGGGAGAGCGACCTGGCCACGTACGAGAAGAAGAACACGTGGTCGGAGGAGGAGGCGCGCATGCATCTGCGACAGAGAACTAAGTCGAGAATTGAAACTAAGATTTTAGGGAGAAAAGACGGGGAGCAGGCCAAAGCTCTGTTTGAGAAGGTAAAAAAGTTCCGAATGAAAGTGGAGAAGGGCGACGTCATCTACCTCGTCTACATTTGTCAGACCATCGTCAAAATACTGAACGTTGTACTCTTGATCATTTACCTGGCCTACTATGTGAAGTTTATCGAGTTCAATGTCGTATGCCCGTTGAAAGTCGCAAGCTACAGCTCGCTGTCCTGCATCAACACTTCGGCGTACCCCTTCAAGTTTCTGATTCTGGCCTACGTCCTGCTGGGGGTGTTGTACGGCTTCAGCTGCCTCTACACCGTCAGTTGGATGTTCAATCGCCCTCTCAAAACGTACTCTTTCGAAGCGATCCGAGAAGAGAGCAGCTACAGAGACATACCCGACATGATGAACGACTTCGCCTTCATGCTGCACCTGACCGACCAGTACGACCCCCTGTACACCGAGCGCTTTGCCGTTTTTCTGTCAGAATCCAGCGAGAAAAGGCTGCGGCAGCTGAACCTGGACAACGAGTGGAAGCCCGAGAGGCTGAGTCAGCACATGATCACCAACAGGCAGGGGAAGCTGGAGCTGCAGCTGTTCAAGCTCACCGGGATGCCGAACATCGTGTTTGAGCTGAAGGAGCTGGAAGTGCTGAAGCTGGTACTTAGTCCCTTCCTCATAATACCTTCGCACATCTTGCAGCTCTCCAACCTCACAGAGATGTGGCTCTGCCACACGCCTGCTGAGATTGAGGATCAAGCCCTGGCTTTTCTGATTGAGAACCTGAAAACCCTCCATGTTACATTCAGTGACTACAAGGAGATCCCCAAGTGGATCGGTAGCCTGAAGAACCTCAACGAGTTGCACCTGACCGGAAACCTGGGCTTCATCGAGCTGGGGGACCTGAAAATGCTCAAAGTTCTTTACCTGAAAAACAACCTGTCCAAGTTACCACAGGCGGTGGCCGACTTGCAACTTCAGAAACTTTCCATCAGAAACAACGGTACTAAGCTGACCACCATTGACAGCATAAAGAAAATGACCAAACTGATGGAGCTGGAGCTCGTCGCCTGCAGCCTCGATCACATCCCGTCTGCCATCTTCAGTCTGAACAACCTGCGGGAGCTGGACCTCAAGTACAACAAACTGACCGCGTTTGACCAATTCCCTCTGCCGAGGCGGCTCGTGTGCCTAAAGCTGTGGCACAACAACATCACCTACATCCCCAATGAAATCGGACGACTGGCGAAGTTGCAGAGACTGTACGTGAGCAACAACAAAATCGAGAGGATCTCGGAAGAACTGTTTTCTTGTTTAAATCTGCAAATTTTAGACCTGAGTCATAACAAGTTGACTAGCATCTCCGCTAACGTGGGACGACTACAGAAACTTCAGCACTTCGCCGTCACGGCCAACATGGTGAGAAGTGAATTCACAGAATATCATTCTAACAATTTTATCGGCTCCTTCCCAAAACCTCGACCTTTAGCGTCTTGTTCTGTTTCTTCAGATCGAGATTTTGCCAGAAGAGCTTTTTAAATGTAAGAGGCTGCAAACGCTGAGAGCGGGGAACAACTGCCTGCAGACGCTGCCGCTGAGCGTCCAGGAACTCAGCATGTTGAGCGAGCTGCAGCTGAAGGGGAACTTGCTGGATCGTCTGCCGGTGGAGCTCAGCGAGTGCCGACTGTTGAGAAGGAGCGGCCTGGTGGTGGAGGACTTCCTCTTCAATATGCTGCCGCCAGAGGTCAAAGAGCAAATATCTGTCAGCTGACGAGCTGAAACAAAATCTCATTGGCTGTCGCTCCGTACGGCAGCGGCTCCATGAGGCGTTCGGCTGTTTCACTGAAAAGTCAGGTACGGCTTCTCAGCGACACGGTGACCAGGGTCAGTGCAAACCCGACAGACACGGTGAACTACTGTACACGAAAACATATTTTGTACAGTTTATATTTCTCTGAAAAAATAAAAGCACGCAAGGTTTCGAAACCTGTTGTGATAAAACCCGTGTTTAAATAGGTCGACTTGTTTTTTTTGGTCCCATCTGGTTCTCTTCACCTTAACAAAGAAGTTTTCTAGAATACTTTTGAAAAGGGTGGTGACAAACGTCTAGAGTCGACCCGTCATTTTTCAAAATAAAACACCTATTGCTCTGGTAAAAAATTGCTATAGAACAGGTCTCTGTGACCTGGTACCCATGGTCCACTACTAGTCTGGGACCCGGTGGTTGGGAACCTTTTGTGAAGTACTACATTTTACTTTATTTTTACTTTTCAGGGAGAACTGGAGCCAATTTAGACGCGTCATTTTCAGTTAAAAAGAGATGACTTAAACTGATTACCCATCATGCTCGGGATGGTTTAGTCTGTATTCATATCTTTGTTGGTTCTAAAAGACAGCGATTATAAAACGTAAAATAATCTGTCAGATTGTTTAATCTGCGGTTCAGTTCTGGACCAGAAAACCAGTGTTGGTTTTGAGGGGAGAAGACTTTCCCGTAATTCCCCCTCGTTTGCAGGCAGCCATCGTTTCAGCCTCGTCTTCCTGCGGCTGGTTTAATCAATGGTCTATCCAGGCAGTGCTGCTCCACGGGCTTCTAGAAAAAGACTACTTTAATCAGCCCCGGCTGTGAGGAAGCAGAGCAGATGAGGGAGGGGGTGTGTGTGTGGGGGGGGCGCTCTGTGGCCACAGCTGCCTCCATCAAGAAAAGGTCTTTTTACTGCTGAAGACTTACTGGACAATATAGTAATTATGTCCCATAAAAGATCCATTGTGGAGCTGGCGAGGCATCCAGGCTGTTAGTGAGAGGCTTCACTCGTCTCCACTTGCATTTCTGCAGCGAACGTCGCTCAGTGGGTTTGAGGCAGCGGCGGCCGTCGGTGGAGAAACACGCAGGCCGTCGTCGGCCTCTTTCTGCTGCGATCGGAACTCCTGATTGTTATTTGACGGGAGCTATGGAAGCGGGGGGGGGGGGGGGGTGGGAACGTTCTGGGGGGGGGGGGGGGGTGCGGAGGGTAGGGGGATGGGAGGGCAGCATCGCTCTGGATGTCAGGAGGTTGAACATCAGAGTTTCCAGCTCCAAACGATCAGGAATAAGATGCAGCTGTGACACCACGGACGTCAGATGGAGACGTTTGAAAGAACACGAGGCGTTAAACTCCAGTCAAAAAGTTCTAAGACAATGGTAAACCAATAATAATAACGATTTCTAGTTCACATATCAATCAATTGAAGCGGAACATATGACGTAAAACGGCCTTTGTCTGGATTTCTGTCTGGATATATTTGCATCTTGACAACAGGGCTGTTGGAACAGTTGCCAGGTCGATGGTTCGATGCCGGGTCTTGGGTCTGTAACTGTCTCTGTAAACCAACCTGAAGCTGCTCCCAAACACTACAGATCCCATACACGTGAAACCATCCACTGCATAAACAGGGGTCATAGGTCAAAGTGAGTTGACCCCTCAGTTCACTCCTCTGGTTCCAGTTTATTTGTATGTCATTTTTATTTTTCACTCCTCTGGTTCCAGTTTATTTGTCATTTTTATTTTTATTTATTTTCACATGAGATGTGCGTGCAAACGTAGGACGCTGAGAAAATCCATTTCTGTTTAGGTGCCTTTGGTTTAGCATGAAGTTTGAAGATACTGTTGACGGAACGGTCAGTGACTGAGGAAAGATCTGGAAGACGGCTGCAGAGAGACTGTTTGTCCGCTGACATTAGGCAGAGACACTTACACATGCGGCAGGACATGATTCACGCCGGCCTCGAGATGCATTTAATTACCAGGCTGACATGTTGCTGAGGCACAGCAGGCCACTGCGACGACTTTGACATTTGAATGACATCCGTTTCGCTCTGGAATAATTGGCTGAGGCCTGTCTGCTGACGGGCAGAGATACTGGAGGTGTGGAGCTGCAGAGTTCTGCTGTCGTTCAGCATCTCTGCAGCAGATGCACAAAAAAAAAATCTGTTCTGCAGCAAATAGTGAATACTGGTGCATTAGGTCACATTTGGCTGCTGTTCCCCCCCCCCTTGTTCCCCCCGCCCCCAATCGTTTCGCACTTTCATAATTCATTGTCCATTTACTTTAACTGTTTTTCCCCTTATTTCATCCAAGTTTTCCTTTTTCACCCCTCAATGTGCATCATGGGAGTTTTTAGTCTTTTAGGAGAATCTGGTTTTAGACATAAAAAACCGGTGAAATTAGGAACAACTAAAGTTGAAGTGACGACGCCGAGCTGCTCATGAATACATTGATGGTATTTGACGCTGAACATATTTACCTCCCAACTAAAAAAAAATTTTTCAGATGATGACGTGTGTTGGAATGTTGGAGAAGGTGAACCAGAGTTCACGCGCTGAGCACGAGCTGACAGGCTGGGAGTAGGCGCGCAGTCAGACGGATATATCCTCACGTTCAGGGTTTCATTTGAAAAGTCGTACGTTTGCCTCCTGACTTGGTTTTTCTGATGTATCGTCTGCCAAAGTGGTTTACTCCAGTAAATGAGCAGCAGAGACTTTTATTTCCACTGACGGTGGAACAATAACAACCACCGAGCGACGCTACAGTGACAGGAAGTGCAAATTCTCTGGGATTTTTTTTCTTTTTTCTTAGCAAAGTCAGTAAAACGTAAACTGACCTGTAGTTGTTTGTCTCTGCGATGGTCCGCTGACCTGTTCGGGTCGTGACCCCGTCCTCGTCCTCGTCCAATGACCGCTGATATCCAGTGCTGCGGCTGTTTCCCGTCAGGTCAACGATTCAGTTTGTGTCTGCAAACAAAGTATTGTTTCAGTTTGAAAATGATGAATTGAATGATTTCTAAAACCTTCAAACTCAAGAAGAAATGGCATGAATTTACGAAGCTAAAATAGACAAAATGCTAACACAAGCAACAGCCTATTCTACTTAATTGGTCTGATTTGTTTTCTGCAAATATAGTCTTCGTTCTTCAGTGACAGAAGGAAATATTCTTTCTTCAACTCCTGAGGGTAAATCAGCATTGTGTTCAACTAAACAGGCCCCTGTTTCACACTGAGTATGTCAATTGTGAGTAAACTGAAAATTGATGATGATGATGAAAAATGTACGATGAGAAACTCATTCAAGTGTGAGGAAATATTCAGGCCATTGAGTTTTGTTCAATGATATTTGGCTCCCGCTCGTCCCGGGCTGCTCCTTCAGTTACCTCCTCCTCCTCCTCCTCCTCCTCCTCTGTGAACCGGACTCCTCGTGCAGCCGCTCCATTGTCAGAATAGATTAAGAAAACCATATTGCGAGGTGGTTGGGAATTTCAGCCGCGCTGCACCTCCTGTAATCTTTTTATCGCTGCAGACGCCCGTGGCTCGCAGTGATTCAGTCAGGTGTGCAGGCTGAGATAAAGGAGCGGGAGATTGCAATTCGCCGTATTTCAAGATAGCGAGAGCGAAGCGTCAAGGTGAGCCCGGCTAAAAACGCACAGAGGAAAATCAAGGATACAGATAATAACGCTAAAATACCGCACTAATTTAAATGTGATTTCACGTGATTGGCTGCGTCAACTTCGAAGGCCTTCAAAGCAGTATTTGTTTGTGTGGTACAAATAAACATGTATTATTGTTGAAGTACGAAGGTAAGACGCGTCGACCTCGGTAAGAAAAAAAAAACATTGTAGAGTGGGGGCTTTAAAACATACACTCCTAATACGATTATAGTGAGTTATTTATATAAAGCCGAAGGAGAGCTTAAGGCAGTATCAGCTTACAGCGGCAGCCGGAACTGTTTCAGCAAAATCCACAGAGAACTGCGGCAGTTTTAGATCACAGTGACACGGAACTGTTTACTCCATGACTACTTTATTTGGTAAATCTGAAGGAACTACTTTAAACACTGAGGTTCCAGCATCACACGAGTGGACTGACTGACTGAGGCGGCCAAGGATGAAAAACTCCTTTGTGCTCAACATGAGGTAATGGCCCCAGTTGAGTCAAAGAGGTTTTAAAGCCGACTCTCCACCAAGAACTACAGTATCAACAGTACCATGTTGACAGGCATCAATACATATACACAGACACCTGATCCTGTATCAATATCTCCTCAGTCATTGATCAGTTATTGATTTTTTTCTCACCAACTCCCAGTCCAATATTCCTGGTGTTGGTTCATGTTCTTGTTCTTTTCTTTCTTCTCTAGTGATTCCAAATGTAGATCCCTCTGTTCCAGAGTTAGGAACTGATGTTCAGATGGAACAGAGTCTGAGACTAGGATCACACTGGGACTACAGCTACACTGGGGGGGTAAAAGACCTCAATATATTGTTGTACCTATAATATCAATAATATCACAATATATCACAATATATCACAATATATCACTATATATTACAATATATCACAACAAATCGCAATATATCACAATATATCACAATATATTACAATATATCGCAATATATCACAATATATCGCAATATATCACAATATATCACTATATATTACAATATATCACAACAAATCGCAATATATCACAATATATCACTATATATTACAATATATCACAACAAATCGCAATATATCACAATATATCACTATATATTACAATATATCACAACAAATCGCAATATATCACAATATATCGCAATATATCATACCGCTGCTCGTATCGTAATACTGATCGCAAGACTTTTTAAACTCTGTGTGTGTGTAAAGAAGGCAATATATCGTATTGTTACTTCTGTATCGCGATACGTATCGTATCACCAGATTCTTGCCCGACACACAGCCCTACTGTCCTCATCACACACACACGGACACAGGGACTTGAGCAGAAACTGCAGGAATTATCGTCTCCTTCGGGGGAGGAGGAAACTCCATTACTCCATCAGCTGTGATGGAAAATCAACACGAGGTCATGTGACCCGCCGGAGGTCGTGACTCCGAGGCTTCTTTAAAACATATTTATTTAATGAGATTTTACTGGAAGAACAGGTCGTTGACAGGACTGCGGGCCGAGCGTGCGAGTCGCCGCGGGTTTAAACTCGTGCCAAGTGGTGTCAGAGTCTCCGTGTCCGGGTCGGCCGGAGGGTCCTGTTACAAACGTCAAACTGCCCCCCCCTGGGGGGGGAGGGGGGGGGCTTCCTCATCGCACTCCTGCTGCTGTGACATCAGTGTGAAACAGAAGGCGCCGTAGTGTGACTGTGTGAACACATGGACTGAGACTGTAGTTTGACTGTGACCATCCTCCAATCACAGGCCGGAGTCTGTTACCACCTGACTTTAACTGGAGAAACATTTGACTCCATAAAAAACTCACACACAGATCGTCTCCCCCTCATGGTGACTCCTCCAACCTCACCCTTCACACCCATGACTGTGGGTCAGTCAACACCTGGGGAAGACTGAGGGGGGCGCTGTTGAATGACATGGTCCACATAATGACCGTGTTTTCTTAGTTTTTAAAATATAGGACCAGGAATTTGTCGGCACTAAGAAGTGAACTGAAGAACCCTCTCGGACCAGAGAGTTTTTTGGAACTGAAGAACCCTCTCGGACCAGAGACTGAGAGGGTTTTTTTTTTTTGGATCGTCTCGCGTCATGTTTTCCAGGAGTTTACGATTAATGTCTATTGACCTGGTCACGAAGGACTGACAGAACCGTCTGTCACCTGTGAAGGTCTACGGCTGGTTCCACAGAACCTGGCAGAGAACTACTGTTCGACTACTGATGAGTTAGCACCGGTGAACTCAAACCATCCTGAGGTTAATAACAAAACACACTCTGCTTTTTAGAAATTAAAAAAAAAACACAAACATTTTTCTTTGATCATTTCAAATCCCAGACGCGAGTGCAGATGGAGGAACAGCCACTGGGTCGGTGGTGGTGGTGGTGGTGATAATGACATGCACCGAGACCCGAGTGTAGCCAGAACCTCTAAACGCAGCAGACGACGGAGGTCTGTGTGTGTGTGTGTGTGTGTGTGTGACCACATTATTAACAAAGCTAATGTTGGACTCATCTAAATATAAAGACCAGTCTTAAATATATATATAAATATTTATGAGATTCAAAAATTAATTTACTTTACTGGGGGGGGGCAGTTAAATTAAAAAAACTATTTTACCTCTACACATCTTCACATGAACCTTAATATTCTAATCTGACCATATTTATATTTCTCCGAGGTCCAACACGTGGTCCAGTTCTGGGTCTGGTCTACTTCTTATAAAACTGAAACACGATTATGTTAAACTGGAATATATTTGATCACTTATTTTAAAATAGATCAAACGAGCAGCCTCAGCGAGTGCTGCCCTCTAGAGGACTCAGGACACAGACTTTGAAGGCGGTGCTTGTAGCCACGTGCGGAGCTGCTGGAACTAATTGGCTCCTGGTTCGTCTAACTAGTGTGACTAATTAACTCTTCTCCACCCGTCTGTCACACTTCCTGCACAGACCAACTTCACAGTCCTGCTGTGGTCTATGCTCCCCCCCCCACAACCCCTGGTGGTGAAGGGGGGGTGGGTGTTTTATTGAACATTATTAGTGTTTATTTTTTCATTGTATATTGACCATCTCACAACGAGCTAATTTGGATTATATTATTTTTAACCAGTAATTAATTTCTTATGTAGAAAATGACTTATTGCCAAACATCCATCCAATCATCCATCCATCCAAACATCCACCAATCCATCCATCCAATCATCTATCCATCTAAACATCCATCCAATCATCCATCCATCCAAACATCCATCCATCCAATCATCCAATCATCTAACCAATCATCCATCCATCTAACCATCCAAACATCCATCCAATCATCCATCCAAAGTAAACCCTCTTGCTGTAAGGCCATCCATCCATCTAACCATTCCAATCATCCATCCATCTAACCATCCAAACATCCATCCAATCATCCATCCAAAGTAAACCCTCTTGCTGTAAGGCAAGAGCACCGCCCACCACTGCCACCCACTGGTTGGTTATGTGTGTCTTTTGACTGTGAAAATAATCACTGACCTCTGAGTTCACAAAGCGAGGCGTTCGATGACGTCACTGGTCCTCACACTGCCGCACCAGCTGACACTTTTACCTGTCGTCAATATATATATATATAAAACACAGTTTACTTCCAACTCTGAGTATTTAATATCAGTACCACAGTACAGAGTACTCAAGAGGAGAAGTTTAACTTTATTGACCTTGTTGCCCCCGTCGGGCTTTTAGCAGTGGACGAGGACGGAGATAAAATATCTGGGTCACACCGACAGGGAACAGACCTGGATAAAACTGGACAACAATGTATTTATGAATATATGTTTAATTAAAGTTAAGACCAAAACAAAAAGCTGCTCCTCTGACACTGGACCACAGGACAGGAAATGACATCATTAATAATCAGACAGAGAACCAAAAATAACAGGCAATAACTGACCTGGGAGCCACTGGGGGCAGTAACACGCTAACGCAGGTACACAGCCAATCACCTGTGAGACAGAGAGAGAGAGAGAGAGAGAGAGACCATGTCAATCAGCACAGACCTGATAATTCAGAAAAAGCAGCAGAGATTCTCTGATAAGACTCGGCCTGAAGGAACAAATGAACAAAGCGGTGTCGTCTGCGTACACACAGAGCAGCGTCCTGGGCGGTTGGTGTTTAATGATGAATGTGTTTCAGTGAGAGCAGCGGGACCCGACTGTGGAGTCTCACAGGGACCAAATAAAGTGATGCTCAAATTAAAATATCAGCCACAGCGCTGGCAGCCAGACGACGGCCTCTGCAGACGCTCCTCCACAGCCGCTCGGTCGGTCGTCAGAAGCTGAGGAGCCAATCAATTCAAAGGTTTTGGGAGAGACCGCAGTCCCCGGGGCTGGAGATAATTTACAAAGGGCTTCGGCAAATCTGTCACAGTCGCTGTAAATCTGCGAGGACCAAAAGTCAAAACGCATCCAAACAACGTGGCGTCGCAGCTGCTGCTCCCAGAGTGACGTTGTGCAAACTTTAAAGCTGATCCTGGCAAGATTTCACTGTTTGATTCCTTCCAGGTTTCCGTGGCCGTAGAGCAGAGAAAGCGATGTGTCCCAGCTGAGTGTCAGGAGCTGCAGTCGCTCCATTAATCCAAATTAAATTCTGCCCAGGGACTGACACCGGAACCAAATCTCCACCCGACTGAAGAAATAAGAAAGAACAGCGTTCAGAGTCAGGCGACCGTCTGCTCATTAGGGGCAGAATAGAAACTGCTGTAACTGCCCCCCCCCCACACACCCACACCCACCTCCACCCTCACGCAAGTCATTCTGTTTCTCTGTGTCCATCGCCACCAAACATCAAAGTCCAGAAGAATTCCTTGAAAACAATAAACATTTACGTACGACGGGTAAGAGCTGGATCATGGAGGGAATTGAACCCACGTCATTTTTGAAGTTCCTTTAGTGTCAACAGAAGTTCATTCAGTTTTTTTCTGAACTATTTCCTTTGGTTTTACGACGTCTGTCTTACAACTTTTTGACTCAATACTTGAACACAAACTCCAGGTCGACATGTCAGAGTCTCCACCTCCTCCGTGAGGAGAAACAGGAGGTTGAGTTCAGTCACTGTCAGGGCCACGGGGCTGTTGGTGGTGGGGGAGGCGGGGGGGGACCCGGGGGGGGGGGG